ATTTGGACAGTACTGAAACAGATGGACTCAGTATAAGGCAGCTCCCTCCGTTACTATGCCCAGTGCTTTCTCTTAAAATCTTAGAATCCTTCTGGGAATTCATAATGGCTACCAGGCAAAGACAACAGTTACCTTGCTTTGACCCAGCCAGGATTACTGCCTTGGATAATTTCTATCGTATACAAATTTTATATACCATGATAGCTGTGACTCTGGCATTGCAGGGGATTGGACTAGATGACCCATGGGATCCCTTCCACCTCAACAATTCTCTGATTCTATGATCATCATAAAGTAGTTTTTAAGGTGTAGTATAGAATCCTGCTTTTTGCACAGTGTGGTAAAGGATACCTGTCTAAGCTGACAGGTTGTGCGATCATGTCCTATTGCAGGAAGGGGAGCCTTTCACAGCCTGAAGATCACATTCCCTCATGGGTCCCCTGTGGGGGCTGCACCCCATTGGTGGGTGGAGCCAGGTGTAAAAGTAGGCACAGCAATGGATGTGGATTCTTAAATTTCTGCAGTAGTTTAGATTCCGTCCACGCAAACGTCAGCTGGTGCAAAACGCAGCAGCCTAGATTGCATCTAGGGTTTCCCTTTCAGAACTCTGCATTCTTTCCCAGTTTGTTTCTTAGCACAATTTGAAGTAGTAGTAACTGCCTATAAAGCTCCCAGCACTAGGATGCCTGCCTGATTCATGACTTAGCTATTTGCATTTCAGAGTGGCTACAAAACCTTGTTTGTTTTGCCATGTCTTTCAGTTTGGTTTTGTCTCTCCGCCCTTCCCCACATATTTTAACGTATGGCTTCTAGTTTTTAGTTTAGTTCTAAGTTTAGTCTTTATTAGTTTATGGATGGTATATTGTTTTAATCAATGCACAGGGTCCCTATGAAAAGCCAGAAGACAATATATTTATATTTATTAAAATATTTATAATAAATAAATCAAATGGGAGTTACTTTTGAATAGACATGTACCAGAATGCATTGTCAGTCTTCTAATTATAAAAGACCTGTGTGAACCCATTTCACACAAAAGGAGAATATGCTTTCTGTGAGGAGTGTATTTTACTTCTTAACTCTCCCATACATTACTCAACAGTTAAACCTGAAAAACCTGCCAATGCAGTCTAACATTTGATGACAATGCACTGTGTTTACTAGGCCCGATAACGGTCAAAAAATTACCACATAACTTAGGTTCAAAAAAGCAAGTCATCCACAAAGGAACTGTGGTAATTAGGGAAGAAAAGGCTTTAGCATTATAGGCCTAAGTGATGTCTGACCATTTTGTTTTGTTTCTAACCCACAGACCAAGGACATTTCTGACATGTGTCCCAACAACAGTTTAGCCTTTGCATGATACTGCTTCACATTCTTTTCCAATGCCTTTAGTGCAATAGTCTGTATAATAAATAGGAAAAATAGCTGTTACATCTCCTGCTCCCTTAAAAAAAACTAGACGTGTGTACCTAGGAAGGGATAGACAGAGTCTTTAGATATATATTTTTCAAAACCAACCAATATTTAAAGTGGATTTGTATGCTTTAGAGATAAAAGCATACAAAGCATTCCCTCTTTAGCCCTCACATCAATTCTAATGAGGAAAACCAGGAACAGATGAAGGCGCTCAGCAGAGAAAGGAGAGGGTGTAAGTGAACTTGTGGCATGTTCCTGACTCTCCAAATCATTACAAATATGGCATCCGAACTGAGCCATTGTGAATCAGTTCATCTCTTGAACACTCTCTACTCCCTAATACACTCTTCTGGATACAGAAATAACTAAGACGAACTTTTCTACTGGGCGGTGTATGATGCACATATTTGCTGTCCTTGTTGTACAGAAACACAGCACATTTCTTGAAGTGTTTTTTCTTCTTCAGACATCTCCACCCTGGCCCTACCATTGCCCCATGCCTCAAGGCTTCTGGCACCCAATAGGAATGGGTGCATGCAGAAAATAATTACCAGCTTTGCCCCAAGTAGTTATAATTATTTTTATTTAATGGCACAGGCAGCATTTTCCCCTCAAGCATAAAGCAAATGAAAAAAGGTTTCACTTTGAAAGGAGACTGAAATTATCAGCAAAATGGTGCACACAAAATTGTTTCATCTTTTTTTCTTGAGTAGAGTCAATGATTAGTGCTTCATTTCTGTGGGTTCATTTTACCATTTATCAACAGACATAAGGAAAGCTAGAACTGTTCACAACTAAAGTCTATTGCAGTTTGCAACTTGAAATGTCTACCTTTTCAGCTACCAGCAGATTTGGTACCAATTGGCAGATCAGCTTGATGGGAAGGACTCAATTTCAAATGGCAGGCTGAATCTAGGTACTCAGAAGAATCTCATGAACTGAAACTATTATCTGAATATCTGCAAATAGCTACAATAAGAATATGCTGTGAAGAATGACCAAAAAGTGAGTCCCCATCTCTCCTGGGAAGAGGCAAGATGGTGTTCACATATCATCATGATGTAATTCTATGCTTATTTACAAAGAAGTTAGTCCCATTAATTACATTTGAATAATGTTTAGAACTGGACTGCATGGGTGCAATTCTGCTACTACTGAAGTCAGTGACAAGTCCGCCATTCGATGGTGCAGCCATCGTCAAAAATGAACTCATTAAATTTTTGATGTGGAATCATATTCTTAAGAAGTTTTTATTTTGCTTTGCATCAAATCAAATTAAAGAGATGCATAGGTTCAGGTTTTCAGCTGCATCTGACATGGTCTGAGCCTCTCATTTGTCAGGTTCAATGAAGGAATGAACTATAAATAAATGTTCCAGTGTTAATGCCAAAAATACTCATCCTATCCATATCAGTTCTTCAGAAACACTTGGTAGTGCTATTATAATCTTGTGCTATACTTATTCTCATCTTTTGCTTTTTTAAAAACATAATTCAGATCCTTATCCACCTTTACTACTTTTAGGCGGATGTCCAGATGTCTTGCACTGTTCTAAATATTTTGCATATCAGTAGGCTAAAAAAATTCATCATCTTGATTAAGATACATGTGGTGAATTCTTCACTCTCTGTTTATTAGGGTAATACCATTCAGAGCCTATACTTAACCTCCTGTGAGAGCCAGCTCTACCATTAGGCAGAGACAGCTGCCTTAGACAGCTATGGGGTGTCATGAAAGGGTAGTAAATCGAAAGTTATTTAATTTGCCGTATTTTTACTGCAAAGAAGGGGAGAGACACTTGTGGGATTTTCTGTCTCATGTGCAAAATAAATTGACTACCTTTGAGTACTAGACACCTTGTCTTGGCAGTGGGTGAGTTGGAAGCATTTGCTCTTCCACCTCAGACAGAAAAATGGGCTAGCCAGTCACCATGTTTGCAGCTACAAGAAGAAAGATATATGCTACATTGGGGTAATGTACATTGTTTTCCTTGGTCTTTACCCTAGAAACAAGCTCCTGATGGAAGAAATCATCACATGACCATTTCCCTGTCAGGTGCTGATAAAGTAAAGTATGTTTGTCAGTGTCCACAACGGAAACCACGTGAGCTACCAGTGGAGGTAGAGATAGCATTCTGGATGCTGAGAAAGGAAGGTGTATAGCTGTACGTGCATAGGGGCAGTGTGAGAATGAATGAATAAGTGCATTGGTGGGTGTAAGGTAGAGTTTAAAAGGGAGGTTCACGGCAGATGAATGGGGTATCCCCAGCCACTTTTGGCTTCAGACCTATCTACTCAGAGGCAGAGCTAGCTGCTCCGGCACCCAGAGCGGCGCACATGCGTCCCAGGGGGGCGTAGCCCACAGCGAGCGTCCCAGGGGGGTGGCACGGCAATGCCACCCCCCACGCCGAAGACGCCCAGGGTGAATTGCACCCACCGCACCACGCTTCCTCCGACAGTGTATCTACTGCCAGTAAGCAGGCAGCCTGAGACCACTTTTCCCTGATGAAATGTGGTCCTCAACTTTTAAAAAAAGTTCCCCACTCTGCTGCATATGGTCATATAGTTTATACTTTTAAAACAGCAGACAGCTACCAGCAAGAACTCCAAAAGTGATTAATTTTTCAAAAAATGAAAATCTCCACCAATACTCAGCATTCTCGATGGGTCACTCTAAGCAAACTGTGGAAGCACAAGATCTGTATAGCAAACCTTTCCAGTCTCTATTTAACAAGAGGTATTCTTTGTAACTTCTCAAAGCAGTTGTACAGCACAAGCTTGCTGGCCTGGCACAGAATGCAAACCCCAAATACAAACTTACACCGTTCCTCTTCTTCAACGATATATGCACAGCAAAATGTTAATCTCCTCCACTTAGTGTGCATCCTTCAATTTGGTGTGAAAGTGAGCATCACTGTCATGATTTCAAGAAAACAAAGTGGAGGCAGCAGTTCATTTTAGCACTAGGATTAAATGACTTTAAGAGGCCCAAATAAAATTGTTTGGCTGTGTCCTTATATGTGCTTTGGTTCTTTTTGGGTTGTGGTCTCCTCTGCCTGTAGCTCTGCCAGCTCTACAGAACACTTAGTTTCACCAAGCTAGTCTGACCATGGCCATTACATCTACATGACAACATAAACTTTACTGACTCATGAGGGAATTTTACAGTGCATTTGGGCTCACACCTTGTAATTCAGTTGATGGGCAACCTTTAAACGTTAAGGGAGGTGTGTGAAACCTGATTATTTGCAATAACCTAAAGGTGGATCGTAGGGAAGCATAATCAAAGCAGATGACGGCAACACGTCAGCCAGTAGCCGATGGGCTTTCCTTCAGTTTCTAAAGAAGGCTACCAGAGAGCTCAAGGCAGCTGGGAAGGCAGATGCCCTGTCATGGAAGCCCTGCCCTATAACTGCCAAGGTGTGGGAGGTGTCTGCGGTGACTCAGTAATCGCGAAAGGCAGCCCTGCACAAACACTACCTTCCTGCGTGCAGTCTACAGGTGTAAGAAAGAGCTACCTGCCGCCCAATAACCGAGGCTAGCCTAGAGCTTGGCCGCAGGTACAACCCCGTTGCTGCTTACCCATATTGTACCCGTAAGGCGACTCGGTGGCTCCATCCTCCAGGCTGGCTAGTATCTCTCCTTTGCCCACGTCGCTGTCGCCCACCAGCAGGAATTTCAGCAAGAAGTCATAAGCTTTCACAGGGCTGCCCACGTGGTTCATCCTCTTTCGCCACCGCTCCCCGCTCCTCCTCTCCCTTCGGCCTCACAGAAGTCCCTGCGGGAAGTCAGTTCCCAGCGCCCATGAGAGGCACCCAACGACCAGCTGTGGCGGCACCGAGAGCGTCACGGACGGCGGAGAGCAGCAGCACAGGCGCAAAGGCATGTTCGAAGAAGCCGCCCCGCGGAGCGCGTCGCCGGGGGCAGCAGCAGAGATTGCGGGGGGAGCTCGCAGCAGGTTCGGGTGGGTTGCCGCCAAGAGGAGGAGGAGGAGGGGGTCGCCTCACGTTGCCAGCAGTGGGAGGCGAGAGGCAGTGGGCGCCGCGAGGTCCCCGCACAACCGTGACAGCGGAGGAGGACTTTTCAACGGCGCCATCCGCGGCCACTCACCCACGAGGCCGGCATGCGTGGAGCTAGGCTGGCGCAGCCGACGACCAAGAGAACCGAAGGCGGCCGCTCCCGTCCAACCTGCCTGGCTGGGCGCGCTCAGTCGCAGCGAAAGAGAAGAAGGGGAGAGGCGAGCCCGTCACGACCGACGAGGAACGGGGGAATAGGATCTGTGCTTGCCGAGGAAGGCAACGGGGGACCCTCTCGGCTGCCGTCGCCACAACTCTTCGCCGCTGCTCGAGCCCCTCGAGAGGCGCCGTTGCCGTCGCTGCCGCTGCCGCCGCCGCCGCCTCCCCACCGACCGACCTCGCTCCCAGCGCAACACCCAGTGACAGCCTCTCCAACCAACACCTACCCTCCTGTGCCCATGGGGGCGCGGCTCCCGAGGCCACGCCCTCCACCGCTGCCATTGGAAGAAAAGGGCCCCGCCCCCACACTCCATTTTTCCCATTGGTACGGCTGGGCTTCCGAACGCCACCTCTCCGAAGGCATTGGCGGGCGCGCACCCGCCCCCTCAAGCACCAACAATTCAGTTGCTGGGGTATTTCTTCCGTGGTATTGGCTGGCGCGCACGCCAGTCACTGTGGCGCTGGGCGGTGGGCGCTGCGCGGCTGTGTTTACACATCGGAGGATGAGGCATGTGCTGCTGTGCAGTTACGCGTGAGCGCGCTTTAGCGCTCTCCGGTTGGAGTCCAGCCTCCAGCCCACGTCTGTCGAACTGGGGCTTACAAAATAGAGAAAATCGTGGCCTCTGGATAAGGGTGACGACTGATGGAACTGCAGCGTACAGAACGAAATGTCAGAGCAGGGCTCAGAGGCAGTAGAATATATGATTCTGCTAACAAACTATTCTAGAATGGCATTCATAAGGACAAATGTAGAATCAGATCAACCATGACTTAAATTCTGCCTCCAACAGTGGCAAACCATATGCCCTTCACCTGGCAGGATTGTTGGGTGGATTTACACCTCACAAGTTTAAAGTTTAAAGGAAGAAGTTGTTATTTATTGGTACCCTGTTATTGTGCACATGCTGTACAGTACATACATAATTACATGGATAACACAGGTAGCAACCTGCTTCAAAGGTGCTTAAATCTAAAATAGAAAGTATGGAAACTAAGGACAGAGAGAGAAATGCGTGGGCAAATGTTGCATATACTTAAAACTGGGTTGCAGTTGGGAATGTATATTAAAAGGATAAATCAAAGACCACGTGGAAGATGAGATCTAAGAAATATTAGAAGGAATGGACAACTGGCATATGTATTCACCCTATGTTGCGGGGGCAGCAAGGAAGAATGAGCATGTAATTGAAAGAAGCATGAGACCTTTGGTTGGATGAGATTGGTGGAGTTGGAGAAGCAGAGGTCATAGGTGGAGATTTAAGGAAAAGCCAGGGTCAAGAGCTTGGTGTGGTCAAAGTGGTGGGTAGATTTTCAAATTAAGAACAGGGCGCACATAGCAGATAAGTATGAGAAGTCAGAAGTGGTTTGAAGAGGCTGTTTAATACAATAGAGATGAATACAGTACATTTGGAAGTCGAATTTTGGATAGAGGTAAGAATTGAAGAATGAAAGAGGAAGGCTAGAGATGAGAAACTGGCAATAGTAAGGGCATGAAGTAATCTAGCATGAGCTAGAGGGGACTGAAGAGAATGGGCGTGTTTATAAAAGAGAAGCAGCAAGACTTGGCAATGGGTCAAATGTTAACAGCAAACGAAAAGAAAAAATAACCTATGAAGCTAGGCTGTGTCCCTTATCCGTAAGGTAAATAGTGCTGTCAACAGGCATGAGAGGGACTGAGGAGAAGACTTGGAAAGAAAGATCCACATCCAGGCAGATAAGAATAACATGAAGGCACAAAATACAAACAGTATTTTTTTTTGTTATTGTCGTGCTTTTTCGTTTAGCAAGACTATCTTTTCTCAGAAACTAGCTGAGTCACTGATCTTTAACATCTCATTGGTCGGAAGAATGATTTACAGTATACATTACTAAAGGGTATGTCACTGTACAATTTAGAAAGGAGATGGGGGATTTTATGTTTGAATGCTCTCTGTGCACAGGAAACTAGCAAGTTTGGGAGATGGCTTGTAAAAATGCTTGCATCCTTCCTGAACTAACCTTCAACCTACCCAGAGACATGAACATGCACTTATAGTGGTGCTTCCAGTAGAAAAAGATAAGAGGTATTTTCCATTTATACATCTAAAGCTAGCAAATGAAAGGCAGCACATACCAATTACCTTCTCTTTTCTGGTAGATATTGTCAGCCAGTACACAGCTGCTGTCCTTTTTTATTTTGGTATGTATGTATTAACTGATGACTCACCAAATAATTCCAGCCCAGGAAGCCAGCTGCTCTACAGAAATAAACCTTAATTAAACAGAAAGTTGACCACTAGGGATGTCCCTGGAATGTCACTGTGTCCTAGAAAGACATCCTCATTAGGGTAGAAAAAGGACAGGGTAGGACTGTATTCCAAATATTAGTCTGAAGCTCAACACAGCACTGAATAGTGCTGTGTGTATGTGTGTATTTAAGTGTAAGGCAGGAGTTAGAATGTTGGGCTTAATAGGGTTGCCCTATTTCAAGAAGTAAAAATCCAGACACCCCAGGACAAACCGCCGCCTTCCAGAAATCCCCCCCATATCACTACATCCTGGTAATGTCTGGGGAATCCCAGATATATAGCAGCCCTAAGGCTTGACAAATGCCCCCCTACTAGTGGAGGGCAGGCCGCACAGCATCTCTTAACTCACTGGCAAGCCAATGGGTACACAACAGGATCTAGGGGGGCTACCTGTGCAAGTTTGCAACTGTACTGAATCACCATTTTGGTTCAAATTTGGCCAACAACTCCATTTCCCAATTGGCCTGCAACTCCATTTCCCCCCAAACCAACTCCTAGAGTCCAAGGTCCCTTGCCCCCCCCTCAGTAAAATATTTGAGCCCCACATATGCTGATGGGCATTGCTATGCATTTGGTGTGCATGGGCTGAGACTTATGATCCATTATGCAGGGGGAGGTTTACCTGCTCCTCCCCAAATATTTTATTTAAGATGGCACCCCTGAGTCCATTTAATGGTGCGTTTGACTGAGGCACACATACATATGACCTTCCAATTAAAATAAAAAATATATATACATGCGCTTTATAGTTCTACATATTTATCCAGCACAGGTGCGGAGATAAGCGCAGACCTCAAATAGCAACCACGCCACTCCTTTAAAATACGGCCTCCCCACACGACACGCGTGAAGCAGAAGAAAAGGGGAGGAAAAGGTCACTGCTCCCGTTTCCCTCAAAGGCAGTGACCCGCCCTTTCGCAGGCGCCGCCCTGCCAAGAGGCGCGCTCTCTCCCCTGGTGGGCGCTTGCTGCCATCCCGCCATTTCAGCGGGCGGCCAAGAGCACGGAGGCCTCCGGAGGGGGCGGGGCCTGCGGTTCGGCGGGAGGGGCGAGCTGCCTCTTAGCGGCCGGCCTCTTTCTCCCCGGGTCTCTGCGGCGGGATGGAGGAAACTCTGCGGCGCGAGCTGGGTACTTCGGCGCTCCGGCCTACGGGCCACTCGGGGGGCGGCTGCATTAGCCACGGCGAGAGTTACCACACCGACCACGGGCGCGTCTTCGTGAAAAGCAACTCCCGCGCAGAGGTGGGGGGAAAGAACCGGAGGGGGAAAGCACCGGCGGGTAGTACTCCCGGTGGGGAAGGCGGGTGTGGGCGATGGGGAGTGAAGTGCAAAGGGTCGAATAAAAGCCGTGCTGCAAGAAGGCGAATTGCTGTTTACTCCCCTTTGCTGAGTAGCACTCCCATGTTGTTGGCTTTTTTTTTTTGCAAAGTGGCCTGACATAGGCGCAAATGCACAGAGCGAGCTGGTAGCCCGTCACAGTGACGCGACGACGAGGCTGTGTCAATGGTTTACTTCTCCTGCCCTGCAGGCAGCTGTTTAAAAGCAATGGTGTCGCGGCCGAAAGAAAGAAAGAAAAAGAAAGAAAGTGCCTGCGGACGAGTTGTGGTGTCCCTGGCTGTGTGTTCGTTGGCGGACTTGCTAAAGTCGGAGCTGGAGAGGGGCTTTCTCGCCATCCATCTCGTGGGCCCCACCACTGCAGCGAAGTGGAGGTTTACTTTTGAGGAAGTGTCTTAACACAGGCACCCCCAAACTAGGCCCTCCAGATGTTTGGGGCTACAATTCCCATCATCCCTGACCACTGGTCCTGTTAGCTAGGGATGATGGGGGTTGTAGTCTGAAAACATCTGGAGGGCCGAGTTTGGGGATGCCTGTCTAACAGGACATATTGGCAGGGTTTTAATCTGAGCCAGGGCCTTAGGAGCCCGTTTAAAAAGCTGTGGTTTTGTCCACACCACGAAACGGGTGAAATAGTAACAGAGTGCCCATGATTGCATGCAGGGTGCCTTGTTTTCGCTAGGAAACTACCTTGTGTAGGTAACAGGATTTGTACTAGGCATTCTTTTTATGCCGACTCTCCTGTTAGAAAATGTCCACTTGCGAGGCATGATTGGCAGAGGTTTTGATAGCTAGTGTTAACGAAGGAATGAACAGACATGGCCTGGCAGTTTGCTATGTAATAGCTGCTATGTTGTGAATTGTTCTCTGATTCAGTGCTGAAAGGGCAGATGTAACCAGAAAGGGGCAAATGTGCTTTGTATGCAGGCTCCTAAGATTATTATTTTTCTTTTAAAATCTGACATGTGCTGGAAAGGTTTGTATGTGAAAGTGTTTACAGAAGTCCCCATCCCCTATTTTATCTGACAGGCAAGGAGAATGTTTGATGGAGAAATGGCAAGTTTAACAGCTATCCTGCAAACGAAGACTGTGAAAGTTCCTAAACCTATAAAAGTTATCGATCTGCCGGCTGGTGGTACTCTGTTTGTGATGGAGCATTTGGATATGAGGGGTTTGAACAGGTAATCTCTGTCTCAATTTCTTGCTGTGATTTACTTGCATATTCGAGGAGGAAAATCAGTATCATGTAAACCACCTTGAAGAAAACAAGTTAATACAAATTAATCATATTTACTATTCATTTATACAATGATGTGGACTAAAGTTGGGTAACATTTTGGCCCATAAGTGTTTTATGAAGACTTCTAAAGAGGAAAAAGAGGACAAGTGTTTATTCAAAAATGTTAAATTTAATATTGCTTTGCTTCAGTCTGAGCTGCAACCAGCATGCTGCCATGTATTCTGAGTTAGGGTTGGGGTATCACCTTCAGCCTGACGGCTGCATTCCATTGTACTCAACTTTCCAGAGGTTGAATGCCAGTGGTGACCAGAGACAGAAGCAAAAGTGGGTAGAACCATGGATATGACATTCAGGTTTG